GCATTGTTGTATATAGCAAATGCAAGAAATGGTTTTGTTACTTGGAGCAGAACACATACAATGCATTTAAAGTAAATGCGAAAAATTGTACTTTGTACTTAAACCTTTGACCTTAAAAATCGCCCTGAGTACTGCAGAAAACTAGGGTCGACGTTCGATCACTCCCCTTGATGGTTCCGCCAATTCTCAACGTGAATCTCGCTGGTATTTTTTGCTTTTGACTTGACACCGCCCGTTGATTATTGCTCGATTTTGTGGATTTCGGGCTGTCACACCATTAACGGCTTTTAACTATGTGGCACATTTAGCATTTGTTTAATCAGATTCAGTTAACAATCATTGTAGACCGTGGTCGTAATAAGCTTAAAATATATAAATTGTGCAGGAGAGGAAAAAGATTCATTTAAGTTAGTATTTCTTGTTATATCATTTGGTTAAGTATAACAGTCGCATACAATTTAAAGTAAAATGTTCGCATAAATAGTGATGATGTGCCCAAAAAATCATTAACTTGTTCCGTTATTTTAGGGGATGTAAAAACCCATTTTGGGGGTTGGATTCAAAACTTCGGTGAAAGTTTGGAATCTTAACCGATGGGGCCTGAGCGATTTTGGGGCTTTTCTGCAGCAATTTTTAGCTTTGGATTAAGATTCACTAGTAGCTTCCCCTACAATACCACAAATATACCTTACCTCCGTACCTACAGCTTCAGATTTGATTCATCAACAGTGCAAAAACTCGACTCAGTCATATTATATTAAATGAATAAAAACAATTCAAAATTGAAATTTCCTCAAATTTCTGTCTCCGAGACCGAATTAAACACCCCTTTGGCCGTATTCCGCATGTGGAGGTCGTAAGTGAAACGCCACGCCGTCGAATCCGATATGTTTGCAAATAGAATTATCGATAAAAGGGAATAACGGGAGAGAGATACAAAAAGGAAAAGGAGAGATCGGCGCCCCGGCACAATATGGACTCGGGCTCGTCCCGGCGGAATCGAAAACTCATTACGGGCCGTCTTTGACCCTCCGACCACGCCGGCCCCGGGGACGGCGACTCGAAAGAACGGAGCGAGACCGACTAGACAAAACTACCGTCCCACGCGAATTATCCTCGCAGGCATCTTCCCCGAGCGACGTTAAAAAGCAGAAGGCCGTTTTTTCCTCGGAAAAAATATCTCGTCGTGCCTTCGCCAGAAAAACAATATGTTGGTCCTTAAATTCTTCAAAGCAAAGCCGAAATCGTGCCCTGGCAGTATTATATTTGCTTAGTTTTACCATTTACTCGAATTACTTTGAGAGCGCAAATCGACCATATTCCTGGTTGCATAATTCCTATAAAAGCTAAAAGCAGTATAAAATATATGATGTTTCTTAATAAATGCGTGGTTGGCATGCCGATCCTACATACTAAAATGCGAAATGCGAACATTTCGTTTTTTTATCAAAAAAAAAATAATACTTAACCGAATCACCTAATAAACCATTTTGTGTCCTTATTAGGCATCAAATTGTGTTTCTAACAGTACATGAAAAACGATTAAAAATGTTATGGTATATCTCCTATTTTAAATAGTTTTTATTATACAGGGTGATTCACAACTTATCCAAAAAAATTTGGGAATAGATGCAGCATGAGAAATGGAGTCAATATCGTAAAAAAATTTTTTGTCAAATCCTTATAGTTTCCGAGAAAAAAATTATTGAAGTTATAGTACATTCAACCACTACATAGCTGGACAACTGTAGTCTCTAGCGTCATTCGCAATACGCGTGGAGAGCCACGTGGCCTCAGCGACTCCGAATACTGAAATCCGATTTGGTAATTGTCGTTGCGATAATGTTTACCTGTTATCTGCGGTGTTTACAATAATTTTTTAGTAATTAGTGTCAAAAATGGTTTGCAAATCAACTCGGAGTTGATGGATATCTTTTTAATTTATGGTAAAGCAAGACATTTGTATTATGGTGAAGCATTTGTGTTATGGTGAAGCAAGACAATATTTGTGTTAATTCGTAGAAACTGATTAAGACGGTCCCAAATATGTTTACACGTTGGTGGATGAAATTTTGACAATGTCAAATGATTTTATCATTTAAAAACACAAATTAATTTTATTAATTAATAAAGACAAGAGAAGTTGAATTTGTCGATATAAAATAGGTGCTATACAATTCTATTTATTTCTTTTCTTGCGAAAGTTTTTGTCTGTTTTTATCACACCGCCATGCCGGTCGCATTGTGCGAGGTCAGGTTTTACAGTGGACCAGTTTCCAGTGCCGTGCAGAAGTGTATTTTTAAATCATTTTCGAACTGCCCTTTTTGATTTTTTCTTTACAAAATTGTATTTTTATAGGTCCCCTGTACATCCAGAATTTTTTTTGGGTAAGTTCTAAATCACCCTGTATTGAGTATAGTATACTTCGTCTTATGTCTTCCTTTTCTGTAATTATTTCGTCAGCTGCACCAGTATTGTATCAATTTTGTTAAAAAAGTACCTAACCCAAACTTTCATAAATAATAATATACACTTTTCATGTTTCAGAACAAAATTTTCCAGTTGGACTCGCCGAACAGACGTTTTCCTTTTATCTAGTTTCCATTATAAATCGCCCGTGGAAAGGAAACAGAAAATCAAAGTGGAAATAATCGAACTCATTTAAAAACATACATCGCCAACTCCGAAATGGAACTTTCAAAGTTTTATCGGGTAGTATACATTCGACATATAAATCAAGCGCTCTGTAAGGTCCACTGACATAACAAATGCAAGAACTTCCAAAGTTGGGTGGCGAGGGGAGGGGGTTGGGAGTTAGCCCGTCCGAGTTCCGGTGCGCCGAGGTCCCCGTATTGGCTACGCTCTGGAAATCATACTCAGAAAAGTGTTATATCTAAAATACCATTTTAAGGAATCGGTATGTTTTCTTGATCTAACAATTATCGAAAGTGAATCTTAAATGTGTACATAAAGAGCTTTCAACAAACAAAAGCGAACCCTCCTATAGTTTCGGATAAAATGCAGGATATCAAGAAGCCAATATGCTGATGATCTTGGACTTGACCTTGACCTTAAGTTTCAAGGTCAACTTGAAAATATTAAGTGAGGTACTATATATTTTTTATGCCAACAATCTACAAAGCGCCAAATTCTGCGTCCCAATATAGGGTCAGAATTTTTTTTCTAGAACGTTTTTGCGGGTCGTTTGGAGGTTAAATTTGCTTTTCTATAAATTACTCAAGAATATTGAATTGTGGGAGAAAAAAGGTTTTTGCTCAAACAATTTTATTATATTGATGGTAAATTTCGTTTTGTTCCGTTTCAAAAGGTCTCCAAAATGTCATGTAATAATAATTATTTCTCCCTATCGCAATTGTAATATTAATGATTAATAGAAGGTGTCTCTAATAAAAATACTAATAAAATTACCTTAATCATACCAAATTCCGCATTGTTGCACTGCACTGCTGGGCAATTTGTCAACCACTTGTCAACAACTGAGAATTATTGCCCAGTGACCCAATGCAGCTGTGTTTGTATTTCGTTTGCCCGCGCTCGCATTCTTCAACTGAGCGTATACATTTCTACCACCTCCACGTTTAGTTCAACCAGACCTGTATATAGGTATGGCTAAATAAATATTGGAACAACTTTTTCAAATGTTTCAATACTGAGCTGCTGTGTCAGCGATCAAACCTGGTACATACTGTAATCCTCTTGGTTTTTCAATTGATATCGGAAAGGCTATAACAAAGTGGTACTCGGCTCACTCTTTCAGACAGAGGAGAGAGCAAACATCCCGTTCTAAAAGTGTTATGGTTATCACTTTACACCTGTACAAAATTTACTTCCAGAAGATTTCTACGAAGATTTTTTTTAAACAAACTTCCACTTGTATGTATATTTCCATTTGTGCAAAAAATTATATCGTTTAATATTAATGCATCTTATTTTCTTTTACATTTAGATAAACCCATATGTAACGAATTTATGTAGTAAATGTGTCTTCCTACCTTTAGAAATATGTTAGAACTGTAAAAAACACAAAATACTGGTATAAATATAGCGTAGCTCCCAAACAAACACTTCTCTGAGTGTATACGCTCGATGTTACAGAAGTTACCGACATAAAACCACCCAATATGGGCCATTCGGCCATCTTTCGTTATTTTCTCGAGACGCTTTGATGGCCGAACGGAACGTTAGGAAAATGTATAAATACGGTCTTCTCTACGTCGAATCTCCATTTATATGGGGTCCTTTCTCGAACCCAGAATGGTTACGTCCGTCGTTAACTCACTTTTATGGCAAATATATAAATTACGCTTTTATTGGCTTCTCCCCGACTAAATAAGTAAGCTGCTTGACTCCCCGATGTTTCGGCTTGTCTAGCCACCGTCAGGGAGATCAGAAACGATTATATTTCGCTTGTTAACAAACTATCGATCTCTATTTTTATTTCATTTACTTTTCTTTAATGGGTTGTTAGAACGCTTCCTCTAATTAAATGGTTTTATTGTTATCACTGCTTACATCTTTAATGACACAGCTCCACAAAAAAAAATTACTGCGTCGTAATGCAGTGATACTACATGGTTCCAAAGTAACGGTTCCAAATAATAGTTGTACCTAAATAACAATACCAAGCAACAGTTCTGTGTAACAGTTGCAAAGTAACAGTTATTTTGTAACGGTTGCACAGTAACAGTAACGGTTACATAATAACCGCTACTTGAGACTATTGCACCTGAAATCGTCACAAAGCAACCGTTATAGTAATGATTACAAAGAAAATATTACAAAGTAACCAGTAGTAGAGTTTAAAAAGTAGCAGTTACGCAAATTTTATAATAAGAAAGGTAAATTGGTTATATTTCCACCACCTCTAATGGCAATGTGACATTGAAAAACTCAAAATGCTAAAAGTTATACCTTGCAAAGCTGTTAAAAAACACAATTTTTTTAGCAAGCAGTAGAGGATCAGTATGAAGAAAAAAGGTTACTTTTGAAGATGAAAATGACTGATTTTTATTTATTTAAATCACAATAATGTCATATAGTTGTAGCCTTCCGTTCATTTCGTTTTTTCTGAAAATAGGTCCCCATTTCGTTCATTATTAGAACCCTTGCAAAATAACACTCTCGTGAGGCAGTAGCGTCAGTTCGTCGACTGAATCCCTAAAAAGAAAGAACGTTCCACTACAATATTCAAATTGTAATTCTTTAATATGTATTTTTGTGCGCAACATAACAACTACAACTTTTCATAAAGTGCAATTTGTCAAGAAAATAAAGAATTCTTCCACTAAAGACATACAACTTACCCAGGCTTATACAAACTATTGACACTCGTAACCACAACTTTGTAACTTTGTTTAGTTCTGTAGAAATCAACAATTTCCTCAAAATCTCCTACATTAAATACCAAAATGAATTCATCCTTGTCCACGTATCTTCCAACCTGTACCACATGATCTGTTAACTTTATAGCAGAGGTCGTATCCAGCGCAAAAGTTTTCTGGAAGTTCTTCCTGAATTCCATCAACTGCTTGTACACGTTGTAGTGACTAGAAACTCCCTCTACATTCTGGTCAGCCAAGTTGGTGTCCTTGGCCTTAGCGGACACTGGTAACCAAGGGGTTCCCGTTGTAAAACCAGCGTTGGGGGTATTATCCCAGTGGAAAGGAGTACGTTCGAAATCTCTGCTGGTTTGATCGAATGTCGAACAGTCTTTAATTGCCTGGGGGTCGTAGCCTTCTTCACAGGTGACTTCGCCGTCTTCCATACCAATTTCTTCTCCGTTGTAGGTCACCATAACTCCTGGGAGGATGGCAGTCAGCATATTGAAGCCGTCTACGTTTTCTCTTCCTAACCTGGTGGCCACCCTACGGTTGTCGTGGTTACCTAGCTGAAAATTTGTAATTCAATCATATAACATTTTTTTAATACTTGTAGGTATGGTACTTACAACCCAGTTGCTCGTATATTGGTCAGGAATATTCTTGATCCACGTTCTAATAGCGTTAACAATATCGTCTACAGTAAAATCCTTAGATAAAGAAGATATGAACCCGAAGTTAAAGGTAAAGTGAGCTCCTTTTACAGTCCCATCGGCATTGCCATAGTATAGCATTTGTTTTTCGATTGCAGCATACGCTTCTGTCATCATTACTCTACAAAAATTGTACATATAAATAAATCTACCTCAAATATTGTATCACAATTACTAAACTTCATAGATATTTTTACATTTTAAAGGTTCCTCTTTTTTTACTACACATATTAGACACATGTTAAAGAAAATATATAACTCATATACCTTGTATCAACTTTGTTAGTTTCAGTGAAGTTATCGAGAACTTCCCTGAATTCGTATATCATATCATAGGTGGGTGGAAGGTCTTTGGTATAGATATGATCCAAACAGTTCTTATTAGTAACATCAGTACATCCATCGATAAGAGGTTCGTCTTTGAACTCTGGATCTTCAAAGAGATAAGGCACAGCGTCAACTCTAAAGCCATCTACGCCAAAGTCTAGCCAGTATCTTAAAACATCCTACAAAAATATTAAGAGGCCACTATATTATAATAGTTGCTTAAATAAATACCTTCATAGCTTCAACCACTTTTGGATTGGAATAGTTCAAATCTGGTTGTTGGATGGCAAATTCGTGGTAATAATATTGCTGTCTCTCCTCATTGAATTCCCAAGCAGATCCTTTGAATTCCGATAGCTAAAAATATAAAGTAAAGTATTTCTGTAATGCAGATAAAGTTTTGTGATTCTAGCACAGAATACCACAGAGACTTACCCAATTATTTGGTGGTACCCTTGTACCATCGACAACCTTCCCATCATGCCAAACATAAAAATCTTCGTACCCCTTCTCTTTAGCGACAGATTTTTGGAACCACTCGTGCTGGTCACTCGTATGATTAGGTACGAAATCCAAAATAATTTTGATACCGAGTGCCTTAGCCAATTCTAACAATTCCTTCAGGTCATCCAGGGTACCATAATCTGGGTCTATATCTCTGTAATCGCTGATATCGTATCCTTGATCCACTTGGGGAGACTTGAATATTGGAGATAGCCATGTCGCTGTAACTCCTGCGTCTTGAAGGTGGTGTAGCTTTTGAATAATGCCTTAAATAAAAGATAATGTTCGTAACAAATAGCGAAGCAAATGCAACTACAATTGATTGTAAAATATACCTTGCAAATCTCCTATTCCATCTCCATCACTGTCCATGAAAGACCTTGGGTAGATTTGATAGAATACAGCTGTCTTCCACCAATCGGTGTCTGGAGAATCATCATCTTTTATAATATATTTTGCATCGTTTTTAACGACACTAGCCGCTGTAGCGGCTAAAATAAAAGCAAGAGTAACAAAAATGTAACTTTTCATAGTGATGATCACTACCTACTTAAGCCACTCGATATTTTGCTCAAGTATTTATAACATGAGCTCTAGAAATAATTTATAGATAATTTAATGATATCAGAAGTTATTTGTCGCTTTTAAGATATTATGAAAATATTAAATTCCTTTTTTAGGCGTTAGTTATAATTTTAATCACAAAGGTTAAAATTTGTCTTTCATTGTTTTCAAGGGCCATATTTATTCCTAAAACATTTGTGCATAAACAGGAAGTTCTGACATGATTTACAAAAAAATCCTCAAATCTAATAAGTGTAACATTTTGAAGTGAATTTTAGTACATTTTAGTACATCGGAGTTGTCTTGATGTGATTGGCATAACAGCTGGCTGATTAGATTAGAGTCATTTGTAGGTACTTATGTATCAAAAATCAATAACAGAGACAAGAATTCCATTGAAAAATATTACTGGATAATACTGAATTGGTGACCAATTTGATGTAAACACGTATACGTTTATTTTCTTCACTCTAAAATCCCTTTTATATTTGCCAATACCCAATACAGGATAATTCACAAATGGTAACCAAAAATCCTCGTATTCTTTGGTGAATTTTAAGGGGAGTCTTTCCTATAAAGTTTTTATCTAGGACGATTCCTTAAGTGATACAGGTTGTTAAACTTAAAAAAATATTTTAATTTTTTTTAAATAATTTCAAAACTAGTAAGTGAAATATTTTGAAATTGGACACATGTATTTATGTAAATATTGTCCAAAATCTAAGGCCTTTTTCAAAAATTTAGATGCTCCAGTGGAGCAGATACAGGGTATCGGTGGTATATTTTTCTAAATAAAATAGTACACCACTGCTTTACGGTAACAACCATAATATTTTCGGATTCGTCTTTCAATTTTCTACAAATTACTACTGTTTTATATTTTTCGAAAAGAGCCTGATTTCCGAGTAAAATTTAAAACACTCGAAAACATCATGGTCGTTACCGTAGAGCAGTGGCGTACTATTTTATTTAGAAAAATATTCCACCGATCTTCCACCCTGTATCTTCGCCACTGAAGCATGTAAATTTTAGGAAATGTTCTCAGATTTTGGACAATGTTTACATAAATACATGTGCTCAATTTCAAATTATTTCACTTATTTACCAGTTTTTAAATTATTTAAAAAAATTAAAAATATCGCCCTGTATCTTTTATAGGAAAGACTCCCCTTAAAATTCACCATTTGTGTATCACCCTGTATATGAGTAATATTATTTGTAATTTTTGCTTCGAATTTTAAACTTAAACAGAGTTTGATAAAAATGTCTGGCCCTAACTTAGTCCTAAGTTGACCTTTTTGTAAAACTTTTGTAATCATCTCTTAAGATTAATATTTAATTTTCGAAAAACAAATAAAAACCATTCAGCGCTTTCAAGACCTCAAAATTTATCAAAAATTAAATAAATAATCCTTATTTCGGCGATACAACGAGAGTGCTTTGAGACATTTTATAAAAATCTATAAAAATATTTATTTACCCCTTTTCCTAGTAATAAACTATTTCTACATACTTACATGAATACTGTGCCTTACACCGTATAAAATGTGTATACCAAAACCAAATTTGCATAAAATTTGCCATGTTTGTCAAATAATTCCGAAGTAATGGTTACTTTGTAACGATTACAAAGTTGCAACGGTTACTAAAGTAGGTAACCGTTATAAAGCTGTTTATAAAAAATAAATAACTGTTGCAATGTAACCGTTGTTATAACCGTGCCATAACAAACTTGTAACTGTCACAAAGTAACCGTTACTAGAAATCGTTACAGTAACAGTGGAAAAGTAACCGGTACATATAGAGATTCCAAAGTAGCAGTTACAAAATAACAGTTATCAACTAGGAACGACAAAGTAGTAGTACAAGTAACGCTACGAGGTATCAGTAATAATCCACCTGTCGGCTTTCCGTCCACATATTCAGCGAAGTAGTTTTTTATTTCTGTCGTTTTGTACTTTTTCTTGTGTCTTTACCTTTACAACTTCTTAAAATGGAATATTAGCTACAAAAAAGTGAAAAATTCGACAACGAAATACGCTGTGGGCACGCAGGAAGGGAAGAAAATGTTCGAACTATTTTTATAAATCTGTCTTTCGCAAGTAATGGAAGAATATTATGGATAAAAAATGAGTTGAGAGTTATATTGATGGTGGTGGTATTAAAACTTCACAAACTTTTTTTTATTATTTAAAAAACAATGTCATATAGTTGAAAATCCAAATTCCTTTCGCCGACTTCTTTTTTCATAATATTGCTCCTCATTTCGTTCATTATTACAATCCTTGTAAAATGACACTCTCATGAGCCTTTAGAGTCAGTTCATCGATTAAACCCCTATAAAGAAAGATCGTTTCATAAAAATATTCAAAACAGAAAAAATGGAACAACACGTCTTCAAAATGTATTTTGGAACATAACATAAGAATTCAGAACTTAATAAGGCGTAAAGTGCAATTTGGTCAAGAAAATAAAGAATTTTTTCACTAAAAATTCTCACTTACCCAGGCTTATACAAACTGTTGACGCTAGTAACCAAAACCTTGTAACTGTCTTTAATTCTGTGGAAATCAACAGTTTCCTCCAAATCTCCTACATTGAATACCAGAATGAATTCGTCCTTATCCACGTATCTTTCGACCTGCACCACATTATCAGTTAACTTTATAGTAGAGACCGTATCCAACGTGAAAGATTTCTGGAAGTTCTTCCTGAATTCCATCAACTGCTTGTACACATTGTAGTGACTAGAAACTCCCTTTACATTCTGATCAGCCAGGTTGGTGTCCTTGGCCTTAGCGGACACTGGTAACCAAGGTGTTCCCGTTGTAAAACCAGCGTGGATGGTACCATCCCAGTGGAAAGGAGTACGTTCGAAATCTCTGCTGTTTCGAGCGAATGTGGAACAGTCTTTAATGGCCCGGGGGTCGTGACCTTCTTCACAGGTGACTTCGCCATTTTCCATACCAATTTCTTCTCCGTTGTATGTCACCATGACTCCTGGGAGGATGGCAGTCAGCATATTGAAGCCGTCCACGTTTTCTCTTCCTAACCTGGTGGCCACTCTGTGATTGTCGTGGCTACCTAGCTGAAAAATTTTAAATTCAATAATTATGTTTGAATCTTCTATAATAATTCCACGTTCGTTTCTAATTTTCTTCAAAGATTCGTATATCTATTACATAGGGTTACGCGACATGTTTCGTACTTACCACCCAGTTGCTCGTATACTGCTCAGGGATATTATTGAGCCACTTTCTGGTAACGTTAACTATATCGTCTACGGTAAAACCCTTAGATAAAGAAGATATGAATTGGAAATTAAATGTAAAGTGCGCTCCCTTTACAGTTCCATCAGCACTGCCGTAGTATAGCTTTTGTTTTTCGATTGCAGTGTACGCTTCTGTCATCATTACTCTACAAAAAACATTGTCATAAGTTAAACTTAAAAAATATAAAGTTAAATTGTAGAAATCCTATCAGTTCTCAAATGTTTTACATGTTTAGAAATAAATATGATGTTTATTTTATTTTATTTTATCTTCCGAACATGTAAAGAGTTTTAAAATGTATGAATGAATGAATCTTATGAAGCAAAATATAGTTACTTAAATGTGTCACAGATCGATACAACTTAATATCAGCATAGCATAGAGAAGAACTTTATACTTTAGAGTCAAAGTGATATAGTTTATAAATATTAGAAACAGTAGGACACCGTCTCCAGAATCCCATCCCAAATCAAGAGACAGTGGCGACAGCAGAAGTTCTATTGCTCTATTCCAAGAGAACTACATTCGGATCAAGAGCAAAGGGTATATTCCAAAGAGTTTGCCAGTTGATGTCTATCAAAAATACCAGAACAATACCTCTGTATCCAGAATCTGGCGGCATGGTGATGAGATTTAACCCGACCCTGAAGGATCACCTATAAATAGTCAGCGAAGATCAAACCAATTAGAACCGACACTTACCTTTTTTTCTTGGTAGAGAATTGGGTCTAACCCTTGACATCACCACCCAGGAGAGCAGACACTTTTGAGTTAGCAAATAGAACTGATTCTATCCCTGAGAAATTCCGACAAAGTTTGAAAGCAATAAGCGGAAAACACGGTACATTGTCAGAGCCAACACAAGTGGGTTCCGGGCAAGGGATCTAGTATGGCTATGCAGCCCAATAAGGATGGAAGGAAAATGATCTAAGTTCCAGACCTCCTGGGAAGGCCTTTATACGGTAATCAAAATAATCAACGACAGTCAACAGGGTCTAAGAAGACCCAGAACAAAAATGAAAGTCATTCACCTGGATAGATTGCTCCAATACGAAGCATATAACAAGTGGTAATCATATATATGTACCTTGTATCAACTTTGTTAGTCTCAGTGAAATCATCTACAACCTTTCTGAATTCGTATATTATATCATAAGTAGGTGGAAGATCTTTGGTATATACGTGGTTCAAACAGTTCCTCCTAGAAGTGACGATACATCCATCGATAAGAGGTTCGTCTTTGAACTCTGGATCTTCTGAGAGATAAGGCACAGCATCAACTCTGAAGCCGTCTACCCCAAAGTCTAGCCAGTACCTCATAACGTCCTACAAACATATTCAGGATCACTAAGTAGAGTTTTACTACTTTGTTAATACGTTCTGAATGTTGATTATGTAAATACCTTCATGGCTTCCACCACTTTTGGATTGGAATAGTTCAAATCAGGTTGTTGGATGGCGTATTGGTGGTAGTAATATTGCTGTCTCTTTTTATTAAATGTCCAAGCAGATTCTCTGAATTTGGATACCTAAAAGTATGAAAAGTTTAAAACATTTTTGGTGGGAATGAAATTTTATGATTGTTTCTAATTTATACATATATAATATTGCTACATATAGTTTCAGCGAGACTTGAGAATGTAAAAGAAGACGCTAGCAGAAGGAATAGGAAGCAATGATTGAATAATTTCCCTGTTGGTTGCCACGTGACACCTTTAGACTTCAGCATATGCTTTCTTCGTCAGAAGACACTCTGCAACCATAGATTTACTTCGGTGTCTTTACTTGCTGTATATACTGGTCGTTTTCTGTTACTATTAAACACTTCTTACTTACCCAATTATTTGGTGGTACCCTAGTACCATCAACAACCTTCCCATCGTGCCAAACATAAAAATCTTCGTATCCCTCCTCTTTAGCGACAGATTTTTGGAACCACCCGTGCTGGTCACTCGTGTGATTAGGTACGAAATCCAAGATAATTCTGATACCGAACTCCTTCGCCATTTTTAACAATTCCTTCAGGTCATCCAGGGTACCATAATCTGGGTCTATATCTCTGTAATCGCTGATATCGTATCCTTGATCCACTTGGGGAGACTTGAATATTGGAGACAGCCAAGTCGCTGTAACCCCTGCGTCTTGAAGGTGGGGTAGTTTTTGGATAATGCCTTAAAAAAAATTATGTCCTTAGGAAGTATTCGGCACTACAACTGATTATTAAAAACACCTTGTAAATCTAGAATACAGCTGTTTTCCACCAGTTAGTATCTGGAGAATCTTGATCCTTTAAAATACATTTCGCATCGTTTTTAACGGCACTAGTCACTGTACCGACTAAAATGAAAGCAATAGTAACGAAAATGTAACTTTTCATAGTAATGATCACCACCTACTTAAGTCACTTGATTTTGTTCAAGTATTTATGACAAGAGCTCTAGAAATACTTTGCAGACAGTTGAATGATATCAGAAGTAGTTTGTAGGTGTTAAATTATTAAGAAAATATTAAATCCCTTTTGTAGGCATTAGTTATAATAATTTTAAACGCAATGGTAGTTAGAATTTGTCTTTCATTGTTTTCAAAAACAGTATTTATTCCTGAAACAAGGAAACAAGGAAATTCTGACATGATTTGCAAAAAAAACACTCAATTCTAATGTCGCACACTTGACACACTTGAGGGGACTTAAGTATTGGAGGCAGTTAAGTCACTGTAACTCCTGCATCTTGTAGGTGGGGTAGTTTTTGGATAATACCTTGAAAATAATCATGTTCATAGGAAGTACTGCAAATGTTTTCACCTTGTGATTGTTCTTGGTAATAATAACTACAGTTGATTGTAAAAAAATACCTTGCAAATCTCCTATTCCATCTCCATCACTGTCCATGAAAGGCCTAGGATAGATTTGATAGAATGCAGCTGTCTTCCACCAGTTAGTATTTGGAGAATCTTCATCCCTTAAAATACATTTTGCACCGTTTTTAACGGCACTAATCGATGTAACTGCTAAAATGAACGCAAATATAATGAATATGTAACTTTTCATAATAATGATCTCCGCATATTTAAACCACCTGATATTTTGCTCCAGGATTTACAACTTGAGCTCTAGAGATAATTTATAGATAACAGTTTATGATATCAGAAATAACTACAGATCTTAAATCATTAAAAATTGTCATGCAATCTTTTGTGCAATGTCTAGAACATTATTTATAATTTTAAAAACAGTGGTTTTGTCTGTCCTTCGTTGTTTTTAAGAGCGATATTTATTCCCGATATTCTTGTGAAGAAACGGGATGTTCTAGCATAATATTAAAAAAATATTGTGTACGTTAATATATCGAAAATCTTGATGTGATTGATACAATTTATTTACATCAATGGGGGTTAGAGATTTACGCGATGTTTTTTTTTTCACTCCGTACAATGATACCTTTTTGTTTTGCTCTTGTAGATAAGCGTTATCTGTCTAATTAGCGAAATCGTTGTTTGCTGTTTATAGCCGACTTGGGACAGAATTAATGGATAATTATTGTTATCTATCCATCGCTTAAGCCTGATTGTAATAGGCAAATAAAATATTTTCATGTATATAGAATTACATCATAGAGAAACCAATGAAAATAAATATTTGTTATGTTTAGGTGAAACTCGTATGAAGTTTGGTTTTCTTTTACTGGATACTCTTGTTCAAAATCAAATAGTTTTAGTTACCTATAAATTATTGTCATTCTGTAGACACAGTTTTTATCATATCAACAATATTTGTTTATTAAAAGTTACTTACTATTTCAATGTATTTTTATATAATATTATAGTTTAAATTAGTTGGTTGAATGATTGTATGAAGCAACAAAATGAAGAGATCTGCCACTAATTATTCCAGTCTCAACAAGATGGGGGGATATAAGATAATATTTATCTAAAGATTAGAAACAGAAACTCATTTTTTCCAGCAAAGTACCAAAATATTCGTGTAGATACACAAAATACTCTGTAGTATAAATTAGACTACTATTTCAATATACCTAAATTGGACTACTATTTTAATCATATATTAGTACTATATTTTGTTTCTACTTAAATAAAAATAAGTCCGTTTTATACCGTTTTTAATAGAAAATAGGCAACCAGGAATACTTGCGGGCTTAAACAAAAAGCTCCAGCTCACTTGATCCGTTCGCCATAATTCACGGTGTGCATTTTTCGCCCGACATCTCGGGGGCAAATTTGCATACGGCGGGAGGCAAACAATAAAGCATATCGGCAACAAATTCGGCGCGATCGGCGACGACAGCGCGATAATTGAATGGGCCGCACTGGCGCAACCGGCATATTGCGATGGGACGGTGGGACCGCCACTATTTATTCCTTTCAGGGGCAATCGATGCACACGGAAGCCGCCGCCGTGTCTTGTTTGCACTCCTCGAATTTCGAGCGTTTCCTATTTTTCGGGCAAATAAGGAAGTGCGAGGCGATGCGACTGCATGCCAAGCCGTAACTTTCAAGGTCGAGCGTTTCTAACCTCACTTTTCAGATACTTTGAGTCTATTTACATTACATTTAGTAATTAAGTGCAGCTGATAGAATAACCCTAAATTCCTGTTCCGTATCACGATGGACAGGCATTTGATGTAAAGTATTATCATACCAAAACTTTTATTGAGCCTGCTCAAGAAATGGCGGAGTTCTCAATAGACTATTTTGAACAGGAGTACCAAAATGGGGAGCCACTTCTTGCACTTATCGCTGTAAGAGACGTAAGTTGTAGTTGTTACACCAATTATGAACTGTATTATTAACAATATTTAAAATGTTAAAAGTGTTAGGTTATGTCTGATAAGATTGCGAATGTTTAGTTGATATTCTTTATTTCAGAGTTGCAGAGGTTTTACATGTAAATGTTTCAACAGTAAATCATGTTGAAAATAAGTATAACAGAAGAAAAACACCTAGAAGTCCACCAAAAAAATGTTAACGAGAAAAACAAATTGTAGATGATTTTTAACAATATTGAAATTCGGAATATTACTTATGAAATATATAGATACAGTTAGTTGCAATATTATTAAATTGATACAGATTTTGAATTAATTTTGGAGGAACATATTTTTTTTATAAAACGAAAAAACCTCTAGGGACGGAACCATCCACTTGGATTTCAATGGTAATCTTTAAATCACTTAGAGACTTAAAAATATTAGCATCAAAACATCAAAAGTAACGGTTCCCAAGTGACGGTTCCCAGGTAACGGTTCCGAGGTAACTTCTTTACAGACTGAAGATTGAACAGTTCTTTAAGTAAATCTATATAAACAGATTAAAAAAAGATCTCTTGCAAAAAATCATATATTTATCAGCAACATGTACACACATATTATATAGTTTTCTTAGATTTTTTTTCTACAAAAATATACAAATATCAATCAATATATACAATTGAGAAAATTAAAAATAATAGTCCTTAACTTAACTTACACCTGCAATTGTGGAAACCATTTATACAATCATGGACCCTCCTTGACGACCTCACTTTGTAAAATTCTAAAGTACACTTTTGTTTCATTTTCTCTTGGGTTTCTTTGCTCGTTTCATCGACTATACTCTTCATAACCAGCATTCCGCACAGAATTCCAGGCAGAACGTTTTTCGTTCCGTGAACTACGAACCTCTTTGGATACATCTGCAGGTTCTCCATGCAGGAGATGTATGAATTGTTCAGAGAACTGCCTTGATTTTGGCTTTGCGGCAACGGCGTGGAAGTCCTTTGAAATGTTTCTTCTTTTACCACAGGATACATGGTTAATACAATTTGATCGATTATTTAGTAAGAAGAGAGATGTGCACTGATTGCAGGACACAATTAATATAATAAGTATCTGTCTTCGTCAGAATTTATGTGTCCCAAAGGGGATTAATGGTTACCTGGTCAATTACGGGTTATTAAGAAGAATTAATATTATTCCTTAAATGTTTTCTTATTAACCCTAATTCCCTGAATCTTTCATAAGAGGATCATGATTACGGTAAGGTTTTCAGGTAGATTCCAAGTAATATTTGCAAAAAGGTTTTGTGATTAGGAACATAATCATACAATGACTTATTTTAATTGAAAAAACAATTTAAATATTTCTTTATTCTTATGGTAACAATAACCGGTCAATTCTATTGGGTAATTTTAGATCTGTAATTATTGCGCAAGGATTATTTCCTATTGAATGGACTGCAATAGGTTGAGTTGTACATTTATTGTTTATAAATAATATTAATAATCTGGATGTGTGATGTTTCCTGGAAGTAGAACTAAATATTCTCTATGTAATTCTAAATTAAATTTGTCAACGACAAATGTTCTGTTTGTATTCGTTTTTGTATTAGGGCTCTTTATTATTAGCATATTATTATTATCTTCCACATTACCTACGGCCAAACTTATTAAATCGTCACGTCGAGATGCACGCTAGTATAACCTACAACAAATTAAATGTCAAAGTGTCAACAACTAAATATAGTCCAGAAGGTATCTGTTTCAAAAAGCCATATTTGTGTGAATCGTATATCCACGGAGATTTTTGGCTTTTTGGCTTTCAAATATCACTAGAAATGAGAATTTTTCTATGCGCATAAAAAAAAACGTGGGCTTAACTTTTGGCAGCACAATATGTTAAAAAAATTCGAAAAATGTCATATTCTTCATTCTTCCTATTTAATTATGTATCTTTTCAAGAGTTGATTTTAGGCGAAAATGGAAAAGGAAAAAAATGTTTGCAATTAAATTTTTTACAAAACATGTCTAGTTACAAATCCAATGAATCATGTTTATTATGGCAAAAATCGAAAAAATCGCAAAAATGGGGTTAAAAAACAATACTTTTTAGGGAATTTTTTGGGGTATCTAAATTGGGTATAGGACCTTTATACTTGGCTCAAAAAAACTTCATGTTATGTACAATTATCACACCAAATTTCATCAAAATCGGTTCGATAGATTTTGCATAATAATTTTGCAATCCAGATTTTGAAAAAAATTGCAAATTTTCTAATTTTTGCATAGCAAAAACCAAGGCCCTTAGATACTTGAAAATTTAATCACATATAGAAGGGCTCTCAAGCTTTCAAACTTTATTTGAAAAATTCGAATCCGTCAATTAGGAGAGCTCTGGCGCTTGTTTAAACATTGGTCGAATTTTTGTACTTATAAACAATTGAATAACTTTGTAAATAATCAATCAAATCAAATTTTTTAAAGCAGGTTTTAAAAGTTCTTGGAAAGATGCTTCTTTAAAAAAAAAACAGATCGATTAATCAATTAGTTACGTAGTTATAGCCGATTCAATTTCGAGCAGCCCGAAGCGGCCGCGCTTTCTGCTTCCCCCACCAACACCACCCGTACGATTTTATTGAATTTCTCGCTTTCATAAATAACTTCAAACACGTTTTAAAGTAGGTTGCCAATGAAGAAAAGTATTGTAATCTTAGACCTGGTAAGTACTCGGAATACCAAAGGTATTTTTCGAAAAATTAGCCCGGATGTCCCAGTACATTTAGTGTAAATGACGGCTCTCTGCTTAGGTATAGTCGAGGAAAAAAGCACAAAAAGAGGCGATGGACCAATTTGAATTCGGGATCAGCGATCTCGAAAACCCCCAGGACCCTGATTTGAGTCCATTCCAGGCATTATTAACCGAGTTATAAATTTTTTCTAAGTGACTTTAAAAATGCATTTTTCTAGATGAATTTTGCACTACACAAATGCAATTTGGCCGAAAAACATAATACAAAGTTGATACATTTTTTTCACATAATTTTAGAAACCGAATGCAAAAAAACCCGTCTTGCTACGACTTGATCGAAAAATTTCGGAGGTTCATTGCTTTATTTCCTCGACTATTAAATGAGGCTAAGATTCCCCTATTCTATTTCAAAATCGACTTCAATAAATTGTCATATAATCCGTTGTTTATCAGTTTGTATGTCCTATTCATCATTATTGATTGATGTAATTAATAATCCAGAGATTTTTGCCATTGTTTCACAATGACGTTAACAATGTTTTTATTTAAAGTGAATATTGGTTAACCAACTAAGTACAACAAAAAGTATGATCTCAGCGCATTCGCTAGTTTTGTCCAATCAAAATATAACGCACTTAATGATCTTATGAGGCGAGGTATAAACAAATACGCCTTTCCGTCATGTTGTACGGTAGCTTCACAAGCAGGGACAATATCTGCAAAATTATTCTTATATTTACTGAATTCTGAACATTTATCAGTTTGGTGCAATTATAAATATAATTGTAACATTGTTTTTTTTTATTAATTTTACTAAAGCCACATAACGAAGCAAGTCGACATTTTTCGCGTCAAAATTCGCTACATAGCCCGTATGTGAAGTATTATTTCTAAATATATTTCAGAAACTGTACCTTTGCAGATCTCTGCAGCAACCTTTAAACCCACGAACTCTAAAATTAAGAGACGTTAACTCAAAACCCGACGATTCATAAACCCTGGGCCATAACCCTTAACCCATAGCCTTTTAACCCGTGAACCCCAAATCTTTGCCCATTTGTCCTTAACCTATAAAGAAAAACCCATTAATCCATAAACCCTAAATCCATGAACCCATATTGGATAAACTTTTAGAGTAGAGCTTTCACAAATGGCTCTATACTTTTGCACATATTTCCTTAAACCATAAAACAAAAACCCATTAACTCTCTCACCATATATCATATCCCTTAATCTTAAACGTAAATCCATAAACCCACAACTTATACAGGGTGATTCAAAAAACCGCTGACAGACTTCTAGGGTAGAAATACATAAAAAATTAAGACGAAAAGTTTTAATAAACATAGGGTCGCAAATGTCTCCTTAGCAAGATACAGGGCGTCAAAGTTTCTGTAAAATTAAACATTGTCTGCAATAATTCCAAAATGCCTGAACATTTCTATTTCAAATTTGCTATGCGTAGTTAGCACCTTAAGACCAATGTTTGATGTACTGCTCAAAATTTTATGAGCAGCAGTGTCGTAGAGACGGGGTCAACGTGACCCTTTTTTAAAAATATTTTCTGCGCCACTGCTAATTTTGTCAAAAGGGCACTATTTTCGTGTAAAGTGTTCAATTGTCTATCGAATTGGTCTCTTGCAAAATTTGGATTAAAGCAACCATTTTTAAGAGAAACACCTTTGTAGAAAATTTGTAAATCCAATTTTATTTTCATTCATTTTAGTTTCGCATAGTAGACTTGTGCTATTCAAAATAAAATTAAACATCGCCTGTCACTAATGTCAATGTGTACAAGTGAGTTAAGTAAACTAGATTATAAGCTTCTTTTTGTCATTTTACGCTTTAATTTTACGGAAACTTTGACGCCCTGTATCTCGTGAAGAAGGCATTTGCGACCCTATGTTTATTAAGACTTTTCGTCTTAATTTTTCATGTATTACTTACCCTAGAAGTCTGTCAGCGGTTTTTTGAATCACCCTGTATATGTCCTAAATCGACAGACACCAGAGATACAAGCCACACCCATATACCCAGTACACATATTTCTCTTATATAAAAGTTTTTAATACTAAACCATACTTAGATTTGTGGTATCGAAGAACATTGTTTAACTTCATTTGATAAGATTAAAAAAAAATTGTTTAAATTAGTTTAATAACTTTACAATAAAGTAAGAACAACTCACTTTATTTCAAAAATTCAGACGCAGAAATCATGCGGTATTTTATTGTCCTTCGAAGTTTTTAGCCGTCATACAATGACGACTACTCCTTCTAACGGAAATGACGGTACCTTCTAGCATATAAAAGCAGACGTCTATTATGGGGGCAGTTTGTTTGGCGGAGAAAAGGAACAACGTTTAGTAAAAGCATCGAATTACATCGACGAGTCCTATACAGCCTATTGTACGCTGTGTAAGGGCCGGTGACATTTGACAGGTGCTTTCTTAACCCTTTTGGATTTGAGAAAACTACTTCACATTTAAAATCTAAAACTGTTGTCAGCAACTGAGACCCGATTGTTGGGGTTAGGTCTATCAAAAAGAATTCCCATTAGCACTAACATATACAGAGTATTTCTCAATTCGATTGCCAAAGCCGTGCAGGTTTTGTCTTGCCCAAAATTATCACAAATAGGGATCAATTCAGTAATATTTAACTTATAACTTGTTTTTACATACATTTACACCGTCATAACTTAACCCTCTAAATGTATAGTGAAAAATTTTATAATGACGCTACTTTTAGAATTAGGTTTATTGGTGTAAATTTGTTTGTTTTTGTATGAGACTCAGCTAAGTATGTGGGCTGGCCGCTAACAAGTGGTATGACGTCACAGCATGACTTCCGTGAGTTTTCCCGCGCTCCGTCCGTTAGGGAAACTGTTAACAAAAAATACTGCTTTTTTTGGACATCATCAAACTACTTTGTGTACCTACTTTCTGCTTATGCTTTTATTTTATCTATACGTAAAGTTAGATTTTCTCTACATGCCGTTATCGGCTTTGCAACTAAATAAAAACATTTCTTTCCGTGAATCTTATTCCCTAGCAAAATATTTATGACATACAAATCTCGGGCTAAAATCAATAAGCCACTGATAACAAATGGCGATACGTATGACTGATTTTAATCTAAAAGTTTGTATATAAATATGAGACCAATCAGAACGGCAGCAGAAACGCTACGTACAAAACGACATGAAGATCGTATTCGTATTTGTTTTTTCCGCGATTGCTGTAGTTAGTGGTTTAGAAATCGAAAAACCGAAAAACGAGTACCTTCTAGCGAGAAATGACGCCGAACCAGATTGGTGGCAGACTGCAGTGTTCTATCAAATTTATCCCAGATCCTTCAAAGACAGCGACAACGATGGGATAGGCGATATAAGAGGTAAACTAGAATAAACATAAAACAAGATCAATCAGTAACTTTCAACAATTTTTTTTCTTAGGAATTATCGATAAACTTCCTCATCTGTACGACATGAAGGTGACTGCTGTGTGGCTATCCCCAATTTTCACGTCCCCCCAAGTCGACCAAGGCTACGACATCAGCGACTACTACAGCATAGATCCAGACTATGGAACTCTAGATGATCTTAGAGAGTTGGTAGATAAGGCCCATGAATTGGATATCAAAATCGTCTTGGATTTCGTTCCTAACCACACCAGTGACCAACACGAGTGGTTCCAAGAATCCGTGAATAATGCTACTGGGGAATTTGGCGATTATTACGTTTGGAGGGACTGCGAGAAAGACGAGGATGGTATAGTCACTCCACCAAATAACTGGGTAAAAAAAAGATTTTAACATGCTTTCCCTGAAATAAATCTGATTTAATTCTTGTATTCTAGCTAAGTCACTTTGGAGGTTCGGCTTGGGAGTACAATGAGGAGAGGGACCAGTGTTATTTACATCAGTTTGCAGCTGCTCAGCCTGACCTGAACTTCAACAACCCCGATGTTGTGACTGCCATTGAGGTAACTACTCGTATTGATGTTAAATATTATAAACAACTAAATAAACTTGACAGCTCGTGCTCACTTATTGGTTGGAATTCGGCATAGATGGATTCCGTTGTGACGCTGTTGGTTACTTATTCGAGGATCCGGAGTTTAGAGATGAGCCTTTGTCAAACATTCCTGATGTAGGAGAAGATGAACACGACTACCTTGATCACATTTATACCGCGGATCAACCACAAACATACGATATGATATACCAGTGGAGGGAACTCTTGGATTCATTTACAGAGACGAACCAATCTGACACAAAGTGTGTATAATTTAAATAATATAATCGAGTCAGTCCTCATCTATCATACGTAAATTTGTAGGGTGATGATGACAGAGACTTACACCAGCATAGAAAACACGTTGCTGTACTATGGTCTTAGTAATGGTACAAGAAAGGGTGCCCATTTCGCATTCAACTTCAACTTTATCACAAAGATAGCAAAGGGTTTTAATGTCGAAGACCTTACAGCTTGCATATCAGAGTGGTTAGATAACTTACCAAGCATCTACACAAGCAATTGGGTGGTAAGTTTATAAAGATTCATCTACGAAGCATTTTCTCACTGTAGTACTTTTAGCTTGGGAACCATGACGTTAACAGAGTTGCCACCAGATTCGGAACAGAATACATCGACGCATTCAACATGCTAACTGCCTTCCTTCCTGGGGTTATGGTGACTTACAACGGAGAGGAAATAGGCATGGAGAACGGAGAGGTCACTTGTGAACAAGGCCACGATCCTCGGGCCATCAACGACTGTTCCACGTTCAATGAAACCAGCAGAGACTTCGCACGTACTCCTTTCCACTGGGACAATACTACCAATGCAGGATTCAACGACGGGGCTACGCCTTGGTTACCGGTGTCAGAGAAGTATCTAGACGTGAATTTGGCCGATCAGGACGTGAGGGCGTTGTCGAGCCATTATAATGTTTACAAGGAACTACTACAGTTTAGGAGTACTCTGAGCAGAATGGAGGATCTTGATGAGGTGACTATGGTGTCCCTATCCGACAATGTTATTCAGATTATCAGGCAGAACAAAGCTTTCCACGTCAGTTTGGTGTTTAATGTTGGAGAGGATGAAGAAGCTGTCGAGTTTAATCACTGGGAGGGGGATTATGTGGTGGCGATTACAACTATTGATAGCTCTTATAGTTCCGGGTATGTATATTACAATGAATTTTTTGAAGAAGTAGTAATATAATTATGTTTATTTATTTTTTTTTCAGGGACTTTATTGAGAATGGTACTTTGTTTTTAAATCCTTATGAGAGTATCGTAATTCACAACACAGTGGTGTCCGGAGGACCAAGTGCAATTCAAGTTCTTTCTTATTTAGTTCTGTTATGTTCAGGGGTCACAATGAGTTTATTTTAAACGCTACGTATTGGAAACTTATGTTATTAAACTAAAAAAAGAGTAAAAATAAAATTGTTTTAGTTGTAAAAATTACAGTGAATAAATTATTTATTAAACATTTTTTTAAGAAAGCAAATTTTTATCATTTATCCCTGCTTTAAGGATTAATATAATACCCAGCTTACAACAAATTGAAATTGGTTCATAATTAAATTTTATTTGTCACCCGAATCTCATCTTAAACAGCAGTTTCAGTATCTAAAATCTAATTAGATATATTTTCACATTCCTAACATTTACTATAAGTATAACAAAACATAGATCTGGTGTTATCGGTATTTTTTTCTTGAAATTACGATGCTAAGAGTAACATTAAAGGATTATCTATAAATCTTTATCTATAAAGCGACTTAAATAGATCAGTTTCTGCTTGCAACAAACAAAATAAATAACAATCGGATTAATGAATTAGTGGAAATGTCAAAGTTAAGTAATGCGTAAGATTATGTGGATGCATGTCAGTTTCAGTAAATAATAAAAAAAATGATTCACCTGAAAGTTTCATAAAAATTGTTACAATTTACCAATCATTTAAAAAGCTTATTATCTACGTGTTTATGCTTACTTACTTTAACAAATATCCTTAGAAAATTGAAAAGTTGTATTTAATTTTTACAAGACATTAAAAGAAACAAGTTTCAATTTTCATTTAAAAGAAGTATCTTACTTATTTCAATCTATTAAAAATTAAATATCAAATTTTAACTGTATATTTCCAAGATATATATTATTTACTTTTAAAACATCTTTGTAACTATTGCGAAGAAGCTCTGCTTTCTAGACAATTTTAAAATTTTCTGCAGATTATAGAACAGAGAAAAACTGATTTCGCCAACGTTTTCAGTAGGCTCCAATACGCTCTATTCTATACTTTTAATTTATATACTCTTATATTTTTAGAATGTGAAATATTAAAGCAAATTTCAACAAACCACAAACTCACGAAATGTGATATTCAATTAAGTGTTTCTGATATGCGTATCAAAAGAGTCGTACATTCCAGGACCGTATTTTGTTTTTTACAATATTTTGAAAATAATTAATTCTTTATATAAACGAAATTTTAACATATGTGGGAAAAATTAACACGTCTTTATCGAATGATATTCAGATTGTTCCATCTAAACAAAAAAAAAATAACAAATATTTTATTATACAGGGTATGGCGTGTATAATCTATAAAAATTAAACTACAGTTCCTAACGATATTTGTAATAGAAACGTCTTGTACGAAAGAGTTCTATTTTTGCGTTTTTTTCTCGTAAATTAAAGTTCAATTATTATGAATCAAAATATTTTCTCTGGAGCGGTCCTGTCCGTATGCTGTACGAGCTGTAGACCAGTCGTGCAAACAATCCTCGTTGAAAAATAGAAAGATACTTCTCAATTTTTGGGGAATTTTTCAATGCAAAAGTACAAACTAAGAAAAATAGATATTTAAAAAAAAACTGATATTTTCTTATTATAATAATTAATAGTAATTACTATCTTAAATGCATTGTTGTTACTGCAAGAGTACGCAAACAAAACCACATCCTTAAGCATCTGTAGTTGCCAACTGCGTGCACTAAACAAACTCCATTAAAATATTGAACAAAATGAAATAAAACTTACCATTTCTTTTCTTTCTGATCCCCATTAGTGCCGATACAGGCATGGCACCTACGCATTCAATTTTGGTGAATATTTTCCCAAATTCCAAGTAATCCCCTAATTGTGTCAGCAGCTTCAAATAGGTATACGGTTTCGCAATTCTTCCACCGTAGCAATTGGAGTATTGTAAACCAATGACTTCAAGTGACTCCAAAGATAAAAGTCCATTGGAGTTAGATCGGGTGACCGAGGTGACCACGGCACAGGGCCAAAGCGTCCAATCCATCGCTGAGGAAACATTTCATTCAAAAGTGTCGTTACTTCTTGAGTATTATGTGGAGGAGCCCCATCTTGAAGATAAAACATGCGTACCCAAACTTGTAATGCCACATCATCCAATAATTCAGGCAACCGGTTATCCAAAAAGTCAGCATATATTGGTCCATTTAGTCGTCCTTTAAAGACAACATTTACCGAGAACCAATGTTGAAAATACGTGTCCATATGTACATATTATGGAAATTCACTTCATCACGGGTAAATGACGCCTCATCTGTTACACAAACATAAGCAGGAAAGTCTATCTGATTGGAATATTGCCGTAAAAACCATCTGCAAAAACGCATTCGATGATCACAATCCGGGGGTAAAATGGGGGTGAACTGGTTGCAGATGATAGAGGTGTAACAGCTGGCACCTTAAGATGCGATGTACGGTACGAGATGAGATTCCTACTTGCTGTCCGAGTCGTCGAGTACTAATTGTGGGGTCTTCGTCAAGATTTTCCAACACTGCATCTTCAACATTAAGGTCCACTTGCTGACCACGTCCTTCTCCTCGAGGAATAACACTTCCCGTATCTCGCAGCAGGTGAACGCACTGTAGAATTGTATTTGCACATGGGGAGGTGACGTTGTGGCCATGGTTCCCGGTACAACCTAGTCGCCGCGAGCGCATTTTCTCCGGCTGCACCATACACTAACACCATATCGACACGTTCAGAAATAGTAAATGCATTGTTTTCTCGGTTCATTGTAAAACTAGTTTGTGCACAAACTAAAAAATTGAGCAAAGTAAGAAATAAGAATCTCGTTTTTAATGTAATCGGCACGCTATTCTTATTTTTTATTTCTTTATAAAAATTACACTGTCATGATCGTGGAATTACAAAATAAAAACTTTTGTCTGGAATCTTTCACTTTTTAACACTCATGGGTCGATGGACGATGCTTAATATTTAATAATTAAGTGAATAATGAATTCAATACAAATACAAAATCAGTTGACTGCACCAATGTGATATTCAATTATGTGTTTCTGTTTCTGACATGCATATCAAAATTGGCGTACATTCCAGGATCGTAATTTGTTTTTTTGCAATATTTTGAAAGGTAGGTTTTGATAGGTATACGAAATTTTAACATAACATGTGGGAAATAAATGATACGGTTTTTACCGAATGTAAAAAAACCTTTATCCTCTTTATCGATAATTTGCACTGTTTAAAACGCCATTTCAAATTTGAATGATATTCGGATTGTTCAATCTAAACAAAAAAAAACTAACAAATATTATATTTTGATATCTCTTCCACTTTTAATGCCACACTGGACAAGCCGTTAAACACCCTAAAGACGGGAAGAGTGTAATATTTATACTGGAGTTCCTTGCAATGTCCTCTACACAAACGTAACTTCTTAATATCAGTTCGCCCTTTCTGAAGGTAGTAGGGTTAACTTTGCCCTGACGGGCAACCGGCCCATGTCTGCCCCGACAGATTTCCTAAATTAGCAAAATTTGCATGGGACCACCGTCACATGACCAGCAGATTGCGCGAGGAGGCGCGACAACTGTGGATTCCCTTGTAATATTCAGCCCGGCTCATAAATATTCAATGACATTGAATATTAAGGCATTGTTATTTAATTTATCCTGGCGAGGCCCGCTGTTATTAGTTAAATATCTGTGACGGCGTTCGCTTCCTCATACTCGTCCGGATCAATTAACTGTCTAGTTTTTGACAACGTATCTATTTTGAGATGTACATATTATACCATGATCAAATTTCTTCTATAAATGGGAGAAGTAGTACGGAAACTGTAATCAAAACCCGACTTTTTCTGTTCGTGTATTTAATTATATTAAATCAATTAGATGCAATAGTCAATACAGGATGATTTTTAAGTTGGCTATATATTTTAACTGTGATAGCTTCAGCTAACCACTGCTCTTTAACGCCGTCCAACAATGGAAGCGGTTTATCCCTGTATTATTTCCGCAGCCTGTTTTATCCAGCCAATCAATTCCTCTCGTGTATTTAGTTGCGTTTGAAATACTAAACTCCTCATTTTCAAAAAATCACAAGGCTTACAGTCAGGTGACTTCGATGGCCATGGAACTTATCCGCAAAAACTGTTGTCCAAAAACTCACGCACTTCCCAGCTAAAATGAGCAAGTGCCTCATCTTAAAGCCACATGTCCTGCTGGATATGAAGCGGTACCTCGTCTAATAGCGTAGGGAGATAGATTTGTAAAAATGACCAAAACAATAAAGCATGTGTTAAATGCACCGGTGTGTTCAATAACCATCCCATCCATAATTCCCGTTCCATAAGAATTTTCCTCAGCCCAAACATGGACATTTCCATTTTGGATAAACGTTGCCTCGTCCGTAGACACAATTTTCTTCGTGCTGTCTAATGCTACAAGAGCCATTAACAGAGCTGAAACCTACGGGGGTGGTCTTCAAGTTGTAAGGTTTGGATACATTTTACGTGAAACTAATACAACTGATTTTATATATGCAATGTCTTTTCATATGGGTTACGTTCTTCTGACATTTCCGAGTACTTATTATGGGATGTTCCTCGACGAGATTTAAAATTTCCTCATCATTCACGACATTTGTACTTGGTCTTCCTGTATGCTCTCCACGATGCTCACATAAATCATCAGCTTCACTAACACTTTGAACATAAAATTTCTAATATTTGGGTGAACTCGATGGGGAAAGCGTTCTTCGTATAAGCGAGAAGCAACAGCAGCGTTTTGGCTATACTCCCCGTAAATAGGTAGCATATCTACTAAATTCATTATTCTCATAAAAACGAAAATACGAATTATTGTAATTATTTTTAAATTTTATCTTTCTTTTCTCAATTATTTTTGGGAATTTACAAAGAAGTTATATGAAAAGGTTGTCTACTTCAATGAGTAGAATACGGTTAAAATTATCTAATCAGTTGGAAAATCATCCTGTGCATTGGTATGACTACTTAAAATGTAGAAAACAGATTAAAAGACCACAAATATACCTACTACTACTACTTTTATCCACAACACTTAATAAACATGCAGTAGAAAAAAACACTTAATGTTACCAAAAAAAATTTTAACAAAAGCACAAAATTACGATAACCGATTCATTCAAGAAATGAACTATCAAAAGTAAATTATATTATAAATTA